GAGAAATTAAACAAAAAGTAGCAATACGTTAATCGCAACATGATCTCCAGTGCCCTTTACGTTATTGATATCAATAGCATTTCTAAATTGAATCTTACAAAACCTCTAGTCCACATTCAAGAGCCGTACCTTAAAGTGCACCACGTCTCTAAGCTATTTTAAGCCTGACGCCCCCCACCCCAACCCAAAAAAAAGAAAAAATTCCTAATGAGTGTCGTACTACACTCCCGTAATTGTCCCATGAACCGGCTTCCATCCAACTATGTTCTAATCTCTATGAAGTCTTCTGGTATAGCCAAGAAGTATAATCACCAACTGACAAATTAAACATGTAGCATTGAGAAAAATAAACATCTACATTAAAGAGTATAGAATCGCCTCAGGAAAATCATGTCTATAGATTAAGCTGAAGTATAAGCTGCATTTTGAGTGGAATTAAATTGCACAGAAACCTAAAAGGAATATGGATAGAAAGTATGCCATTGGACTTCAGGTTATAAGAACTACACTTTTAAAAACAACAACAGAAGGAGAGTATGAATGAAAACTAAAAGATTACATTGACATAATACATGGAAATGCATACTGAATGCAAGAGGGATTGTCTCTGGACCATTATAACACTAGGTGAGTTTAGGAGGTATGTATGACTCACCAGACCACCTTTCAGTTGCCATTTTTGTTTCCGATTGTTTCTTGTTTATTTTGGCTTAGTTTAGTTTCTGCTTCTTTGTTCTTGGGTTTGTTTCGTTAAGTCCTTATAATGAAACACGGGGCTAGTTTACTCTCACTCAGAAAATGTCTCACCAGAATAATTGTTAAATGAATTTTGATTAAGCAGCTTGTAACATGTGAACAAAGCACATAAGTCTGTTAAAGAAAGTTCAAACTAAAGTAAAGAGTTCAAATCACTTTGAGTTTATTAGTTTCTCAAGGTATCCATCATCTACTTCTTACTTCGTTATCTATGCATGAGCTGCTCTGATTGGTTATGCCTTCATGATCACGTTTGCTATATCCACTCCCAAACAGTAATTTTGGGAGTTGGATTGCCGAAAATGCCCTTTTATTACCACCGGACTCCGTGTCCGGTGTGCAATAAATTTTTTTTAAATATTTTCGGCCACCGGACTTGGTGTCCGGTGTGCATTGATTTGCTTTTTTTAATTATTACTGCCACCGGACTCCGTGTCCGGTGTGCTTTATATTTTTTTTTAATTGTTCGCCCACCGGAAGCAACACATTCGAACGAGGCATGAAAATGTGGTGAAAACGGTAGAAAAATCATTAATAGTTTTCATAAAAATTTTTTGAGAACATATATAAATGTTGGTTTAATTTTAATATAATTGGAAGTTGGTGAAAATGTGGTGAAAACGGTAGAAAAATTTAAGTCAGTCAAATGTTGGTTTAATTTTAATATAATTGGAAGTTGGTGAAAATGTGGTGAAAACGGTAGAAAAATTTAAGTCAGTCAAAGGCTGTTTGCCTCGGTCAGTGAGCTTTCAGAAATTCGAAGTCCGGTAGCCACTAACCGGATTGCGAATTTTTATGGTGTCCGGTTGGCTTCGAATTCCGATTTCGAATTTTTATAACAATTTTCATTTCCAATACAATTTACACAAATTACATAAAATCGTTTTTTTCAAAAATAAATTACACCACTCAGAATTTTTTACTAATTTGATTTGAGCACTCAGAATGTCAAAATTGATTTTGACCCCTTAGATTTTTACCTATAAAAAGGCCAACAATTTAAGTTTTTCAAATCACAATCACAACTCAAACACTCACAACTCAAACACTTACAATTATAATCACAAACAATATGAATTCTGGAGATTACAACTACATAAATCTTGATGAAGTTGAATTCGTCATCGACGAAACACAAAGTGATCCATTCCAGGATCATAGTTCATATGTAGAGTTTGAAGACATTTCAACCGATTTCGGTAATCCGGAAGGAGGTTTTGCTAGTAGAGAGGACATGGATGCTCATGTAAGATATGTTGCTGGCTTGAGGAACGTTACTTTGGCAATTCGTGATTCGAAGGGAAAAGACGGCCGACGGCCCAAAGTTCGATATTTATGTAGCCAAGGTGGCTGATACAGACCAAAAAAGGTTACTGGAACTAGGTCCACTAAAACGACAAAAAATAATTGTCCATTTTGGTTGTGGACGGAATGGAGTACCCTGGAGGGCGCTGGTACTTTGAAGTCCGGGAGGGGAGACACAACCATCCATTCCCGTCTCATGCTATGGGATCTCGTTTAGGTAAAATATCCCCTATTTAACTTGAAGTTATTAGGGAGCAAGAGAATTTTAATTTAAGCCCGAGTAATATATTGGCGTCCATGAAAAGGGCTGATCCGGAGAACAAATCGTGTCAGAAACAAGTTTACAATGCTGTCAGTAAGGTGCGTGCCCAGAAAAGAGAAGGTCGGACCCCGATGAATAATTTCATCCATTTACTCAGGCAATTGAACTACATGTACGACGTTCGGACTGCTGATGAATCTTCCGAACTTGGAGATATTGTTTTCTGCCACCCGGCTTCTTTTGTGATGGTGAATGCATATCCGGAAGTCATGATGATTGATTGTACGTACAACACCAATGAGTATGACATGCCTCTACTAGAAGTGGTCGGTGCAACAAGTACGGACAAAACGTTCACTATCGCCTACGCATTCATGCGAAATGAGAGACAAGAAAACTACAGGTTTGTGTCTTAATGAATTTTAATTTTTGTCATATGTTTAAATTTAAAATTGTTAATTAACATTATTTAGTACAATTGTTTGTCAATGTTATGAATAATGTTAAATTGAATATTTAGGAGGAGTTAATATTGTTATGAACATTATTAGTATTGTTTAATTAGGAGTTATTATTTTTATGAACATTATTAGAATTGTTTAATTAGGAGGAGTTATTATTTTTATGAACATTATTAGAATTGTTGAATTAGGAGTTATTATTTTTATTGGAATATTATTAGTATTGTTTAATTAGGAGTTATTATTTTTATGAACATTATTAGAATTGTTGAATTAGGAGGAGTTATTATTTTTATGAACATTATTAGAATTGTTTAATTAGGAGGAGTTATTATTTTTATGAACATTATGTATTGTTTAATTAGGAGTTATTATTTTTATGAACATTATTAGAATTGTTGAATTAGGAGTTATTATTTTTATTGGAACATTATTAGTATTGTTTAATTAGGAGTTATTATTTTTATGAACATTATTAGAATTGTTGAATTAGGAGTTATTATTTTTATTGGAACATTATTAGTATTGTTTAATTAGGAGTTATTATTTTTATGAACATTATTAGAATTGTTTAATTAGGAGGAGTTATTATTTTTATGAACATTATTAGAATTGTTTAATTAGGAGGAGTTATTATTTTTATGAACATTATTAGAATTGTTGAATTAGGAGTTATTATTTTTATTGGAACGTTATTAGTATTGTTTAATTAGGAGTTATTATTTTTATGAACATTATTATATTGTTATTTTTTTATTGTTATATTGTTTAATTAGAACTTATTATAGTATTATTAGGAGTTGTTACTGTTATGAAAATTATTATATTGTTTAATTAGGACTTATTATAGTATTATTATTGTTATTAACATTGTTATTGTAGTATTGTCATTAATATTGTTATTATGTTAATTTGTTGTTATAAATTACAATTGACAATTATTTAGTACAGTTATTTTGTCCTACGTTTAAATTTAAAATTATTAATGTTATATTATTTTGCAGGTTTGTGTTACAGTTTATCCGTACTTTGTTCGTTAGCCAAGTGACACCTAATGTCATTGTAACAGACCGAGATTACGCCTTGATGCATGCTGTCGAGTATGTTTTCCCGGAATCCAGGCATCATTTGTGTCGCCGTCACATTGAGCAATGCGTGCTACAACGAGCACTGCAGCAACCTGGTTTTTTAAAAGAGGCGGCAGAAGGATTTAAATTTCGTTGGAATTGGGCGATAAGTGCACCGACCATAGATGACTTTAATGATAGATGGGGACGTCTGGCAGCACATTACTCGAGTTGGGGAGCATTGCTGAACTACTGCATTGACACATGGATTAGTCTGCATTCCCAAAAAATCCTGTCAGCTTACATCGACCATTATTTTCACTTCGGAAGCTACACAACAAATAGGTAAGCCTTGTGAGATTTACATGACTAAATAATCGTTACATGTAGTCAACATTAATAATTAATATTCAAGTTCAATTGGTAATGCAGGGTCGAAGGAGAAGATCATCGCGTCAAACGACATTTAGATGGTGGTCGGTACACATTCGATACCATACTGGAGAAACTTCACAAGGTGATGGAAGGCCAAATCTGTGAGATTAAGAAAGTAGCGAGAGTTAACGCTACTAAATCCAACACAGACACCCTTGGAGATACGTTGTTTGTTAATCTGAACAGATCAATCACGTTTAAAGCATTCGGCCTCATAAGGAAAGAAATGCAAGTTTTACAAGAAATGGGTCAGGATCCAACAACGTGTGGTTGCTACCTAAGGAGAACTCATGGTCTACCGTGCGCACATGAGCTTCAGTACTACATCATAAATGGGTATAGCATTCCGTTGGATCAAATACATGATTATTGGAAAAAAGTTAGATATTCAGTTTCTAATATTTCCTAATGATGCCGCGGATGGATCCCCGACTCCACCAAATCCAGTGAGGAGGGCGTTGTTCGAAGAAGTCCCTGATATTACTGCACCTCCTACTGCTAAAAAGAAAACCAAGGGTAAAAAGCTCTCTAGTCTCCGTGTACCTTCGGCGTGGGAGAGGGTTGTGAAACAAGAAAACCAAGGGTAAAAAGCTCTCTAGTCTCCGTGTACCTTCGGCGTGGGAGAGGGTTGTGAAACAGTGCGGATTTAAAAAGTCTCCAAACAAAAAGGTAATACTACATAACTTATGAATTTTTATATTTGAAAATTATGATTTATATTAGTTACTAATTTATTATTCTCAATTTAACATTGTCAACCTATGCATTTGTAAAGGGCCCTGGACGTGTTGCTTCTATCTCTGCATCACAGGGGAGTCCAATGAGCACATCCCAACGTACGGGGCCACCAGTATCACCATCTTCTCCAAATACATCATGCTCAAGGCCTCCAATGTTAACCCCTTCTTCCAAAGGCACCACGTTCATCTTTAAGAATTCTGTATTTGAGAGAGAATTCACGCCCTACATTAGAAAATACATAGATCAATGCACAGATGTAGCGGCAGACGAAAATTGTGGATTTAGAGCGGTGGCTCTAGCAATTTACGGAACAGAAGATGATTGGGTTAAAGTTAGACAAGACTTAATAGCAGATCTACAGATTAGAAGCGCCTTGTACGCTTGAATCTTAGGTGGGAGGAGTGCGAGGAGTTCTAATGTGACTAATCTCATCCAATCGATTGCTCACTACCATGGACCAACGGATGATGATTACTGGATGGCGGTACCGGATTGCGGTCACGTAATTGCAACAACATATAATGTTGTTTTCATGACATTCAGTGAACATGGAGGAAATACTTGTCTGCCAGCGATATTAGATGAAACACAAGGACCTCCAACCCGAAAGGTGGTGTGCGGACATCTTAGCAATGATCATTGGATTTTGGTAAGAAAATTACACTAGTCGACGATCATATAAACAAGTTGAATTTTAACTTTAATTTTTTATATAAGAATATAACTTCAATATTTGTACATTTTTTTCCAGTTGCATATGAAACCAGGGGATCATCCGGTACCACCCATAGCATTTTACTGGAACGACCATCACGACAAATCTGCAGATGGTTTAGTTGCACAATTTGCATTCTCGATCGGTCACTTTAACCGTCTCCACAATGAAGATGGAGAACGTCGAGTAGCAACAAGAAGAAGAAAGAACAATTAATTAGGATCGAAAAAACAATTGATGTATTTCGTTGAGTAGATTAAAGAACAATTAATTAGGATCGAAAAAACAATTGATGTATTTCGTTGAGTAGATTAATACTTTGATTTTCTAATAAATTTTATTATTATCCTTAATACTTTGATTTTCTAATAAATTTTATTATTATCCTTCATTATAGTCTAACACTTCAAACATTTCAAGCACTTAAACAAATTTTATTAACGGTTTTAAAAATTCAAATTATATTAAAATTAAACCAACATTTATATATGTTCTCAAAAAAATTTAATTTTTTTTAATAACACTTCAAACATTTTTAACAAATAAAAATCATTAATAGTTTTCATAAAAAATCAATTAACGATATAGTTCCAAATCCACACACACACCCCACCCCCAAACCCCCCAAAAAAAGTTATTGCTAGCATTCATACTGCAATTACATTACCTTGGTCAAGTGTCTCTGCACACAGTATCCATGCACCTCAACATCCAACCAAAGCAGCTTACCTGGATAAGGAACAAAAACAATGATATAAGCAAGCTGAAAAATGAACGAAAGAAATTGCCAGTACAAAATTCAACATCCAACTAAAGCAGCTTACATGGATGAGGAGCAAAAACAATGATATAAGGAAACAGTTTGGGTGTATTAATGCCTTTAATTGTTCATGATATAATTTTGATTATATCTGACCCTAGTTTCTAGGGCATGCGAGAGCATGAAAAACTAAAATATATGATGGTAATATTAAGCTCAGAGATATCAAGCAGTAAATAATCTATATTGACTTTGTTTCCTTCCTCTCCCTCCCTCATTGAACTGGTCAATACCTCAATAAGAAAAGGATGGAATCCAGAAAAAATGAATCCTTTATGTAACTAATAAAGAAGTTGTACTCTAAGCAAAGATCCATTCTCTTCAATAACAAAGTAATTACTCCAAGTACTAGAAATAATCTCAAATTTACTACTAAAATAACATGGGACAAAATGTTTCTGCGCATGTCCTGGTGCAAGTGTATTAAGTCTATCCAATTGTGTAAAATAAGTGTTGAGACAAGATAAGAAAAGAGCTCCTTACCAATGTTTAAAAAAGCGGAAGCGCAAGGCAAAACGTTGGACCTTTTAATAAAGCGAAGCGTAAGCTTCAAAGCGTGAAGCATGCGCCTTATGAGAGTAAGTAGTTTAATTATAAAGTTTGTATAAAATATGAACATATAATACATAGTGGTATAATAATATACAAATAGATAAATTCATGTCCCGATTAGTAAAAAAAAGAATTAATGTGTGAAGTATAGATGCAAATCATAATAAACTAATCGACATGAATAACTTAGATACATCTTATTTACACTCACATGGTCATATTGAAGATACATAGGGTCATTTTAATGATAGTCAAAATCCTTTTATATCCCAAAATCCTTTTATATCCTCCTATTTTGTCTAAAATGTGCGTTTTAAATGATGAAGCGCTTCTTCAGTTATGCTTTAAGCAATGAGGCATAAGCTTCAAAGGAAAAATAGCTTCTCCCTTGAGCTGATTCAAAGTATTTACCCTTCAAAAAGTTGTGAAGCGGGTTTAAAAAAAAGCTTTTTTAGCATTGTTCCTTACTAAGACGTGTACTTGGCATGTCTAGAATATGTAACAACCACATCAGAATGGACTCTAGCATGGACAAGTTGCACAGACGGTCAAAACCTGTTGTCCACATTTAAGCTAGCACTAATCTTTGATCATATGTAAAAGGCCAAATCTACTTTTTAGCAAATGAGTGTGAGAAATGTAATAATAAATAATTTCTCAGCCTTTATGATCCCCAAACAATATAGATGGTAGTATTACATGAAGTTGTATGATGCTAGAAAGATTCTATTTGTATCAAGTATTCCAATTTGCTCCAGATTTCATATCAAAAAATTTGGTGGAAGGTTCAAGAAGCTATACAAGAGCAATAGCAAGTAAAATTTTTGGTTGTTAAAAATGGTGGAAACAAATCTGCTTGTAGGTTGTTGAGTAAAATAGCAACACAATTATGATTACAAGACCATTAGGTATTAATGTTCCATGGAGATATGTTACAAATCGAGACCAGCAGTAATCATTGACAGGCAAACCAGTGGACCACCGGAGGATGAAGGCAAAGTGCTCATGTTGTCAAATCAAGGTAGAGGAAGAAATAGCTCTAAGCCCGTTCAAGATCGCATCAAGGCAAAGAAAAAACCGAAGAGTGATAAAAATTTCAATTTATCATGTATATTTTTTCTGTTGTGCTTCGTGAGAAGAGGGTTAGAATGTGACACAAGTTTGAATTCACAACTGTATGGAACTAACCATTAGAGTTTAACTACTCATCAGCCAAAATCTTGGTCTAAGATGGAATTACAGTGTGGGGTCAATTTAAACAAGGGTAAATTACACTAAACCCCAAAAACTTTCAGTGTTCTGTAGTAAACACCCAATAACCTTCAAGATCACACTAAACCCTCAATAACTTGTGCAGAAAACCACCAATATCTCCTGGGTAAGTTATTAAACCCCCAATGACTTTCAAAATGCCCTTTTATGTCGTTTTTTGTTCTAATCTGTGGGGGTTATCTGCAAAATTGCAGAGAGTTATTGGAGGTTTTATGCAAGATGCAAAAGTTACTAGGGGTTTAGTGCGATTTTGAAAGTTAGTGGAGGTTACTGCAAAACGTTGTATGTTCTTGGGGTTTGCTGCAATATACCCTTTAAACAATGTGATACACTCGCGCAGTTAAAAAGTTGAAGAAATTTTCAAAATAGCCTCAAACTTTTTTTTTTTAAATAGACCCTCTTTCGTTTTTATTACAGAAATAAACTCACTTTCTGATTACGTCAGCACCGTGGCCAGAAAGTGAGTCTAATTTTTTTTAAACGCCTTCCTAATTAGTCGGAGTTGTCAACCCCGACTAATTTAGACTTGCAATTTGTCAGCCAAATTAGTCGGGGTTAGCAACCTCGACTAATTAGGAAGGCGTTTAAAAAAATAAACACACTTTCTGGCCATGGCGCTGACGTGGCCAGAAAGTAAGTCTATTTTTGTAATAAAAAAGTAAGATGGTTGTTTTTTTTAAATTGGTTTGGGGCTATTTTGAAAATTTCTTCTTAATGAGTTACATAATACAAACACATTACTATTCCAATACCTCAGGATGCTACTATATTTGAACGAAAAAATTTCTTTCATAAGCTCTGAAGCAAGAATCAATAATTCTGAGTGGGAAAAAAAACTTAATTAGGGTACCTTGGCATCAAGAATTCTTGATGTTCCTCGGATAACGGAATTCATTCACAGTGAACTCGATCTTCTCCCCTGTAATCTGGCAGTTTATTGGGATCGGCAGCAGGTTCGTCAGATTGCTTACCAAAATTGAATCCATCAACACTCAATTTTTTTCGGTAGAGAGTATTTGGGGATCAAAGGTGAGGGTTTGAGGAGAAAATGGAGGGATTGGGAGTTAAAAGGGTTTAATTTTTCGAAAGAAGAGTGAAAATGGGGAGCGGGAGCACTATATTTTTAAACTGGGCTGGGCCTGCCTTTGAATAAAGCCGTAAAATATAAACCAAAATGGGCCTTTAGGGAAAAATAAAACTAAAACTAGCTTATCTGGTTGTGTGCTTGTACGTTTATTTCTTGCACTAATAAACTGTCAGCTAATGATACTTGGAATTAGGGCTGTCCAAAAGCCCGCTGGCCCGGGCCCGATCGGGACAGAACCCGGCCCAGAAACCCAGGCCAGACCCGGGTCTGGGTCCGATCGTCGGCGCCCAGCCCGGAATAGTATTTTTTTTATTTTCTTATATGTATAATATATATATATATATATACTCTCTCTCTCTCTTAGTATATAATTATATATAAGTATACTCTCTCTTATATA